TCACTATTCCTCTCCCCTATCCTAAAATAGCAAAGATCTGAGAGAGAACAAGGCTATAGAAGTCTGCTCCCAGCACTGGCATGCAATTGATTCAATGACTTAGCTAGGGAATGAGACAGGCAAACAGTTTAAGATAAAGGTCAGATCTCTGTAAACTGTTGACTTATTACATGCACTAATCTGTCATTTACACCCACTTATTGCTCTGGTACTTAAGTAAAGCACCTCTCAAACCAACAGAAGTCACCTGGTCAATTTATGCTGAATGAATGTTAATTTCAAAGAGCTGAAAAACAATCAGCTTAATCTCTAATTGGCTAATCTTGTTTCAGAGGAACTCAGAATAACAAGTGCACAAAACAATTAGCTTCAGCTTATTTTCCCAAAAAGCCATTAGGTTTTTCCCAAGTCACTATTATTAGATCAACATACCTAGAGTGTCTCTTTTATGATCATTTTCCTAGTCAAGAATCCAAAACATTTCCTATTTGTCTACGGAATTAACACTCCCTCTTTTATAACCAAACCCATTCCTGCCAACCTTACTTCTCTTAATTTTCTTTGACATACCTAGGGAAAATAAGAGTATCTATGCGTTAGAGTTGTTTTAAGTACTAACTATAATAATCCATGAAAAGCTTATTACACAGTGCCTGCTAATGCACACCACAAACATATTAGCGTACAACTCTATTCCTCCTGCTCCATTTGGTCTCTTGCCTCTCCTTGAAATGGACATTCACTCTTGTCTCTGTGCCACTGCCCATAATGTTGCCTTTGCCTCAAAATGTCCTCCGTTTTGTTCTCTGTCAAGAACACAAAAGACCCGACAGAACCTCGAAGCTTTCCCCAATCTAGCTCCCACAATCATTTCTATGCTACTTAGTACTTACCTTGCATGAGTTTTCAATGCCTCCCAAACAAGATCCCAATCTTACTGTAAAGTAAGGCAAACCATAACCAAAGCCAAAATTTTCATTGTTTTAGCTATTATTTTAGTTATACTAAGTTTCCATTTATATTGTCAGAGCTAGGGCTCAGACCCTTCAAACCCATTATATAGACTGGGTCACCAGACCCCTCACATGCAGGTCCATGCTAGGTAATTGGGAAAGATGCCAGAAGCTGTTGGCAGACAACACAACCTCAGTCCTCAGCGGCAGCAGCTTACAGGTCCAGTGGCGGCCTTGCAGAGTGTCCAGGGGGCACTACTACTAGCGGCAGCAGCAGTAGTGGCCTCCCCATGGCTCCCCCCCTGGGGGGGGCATCCCGGGGGGGGGGGAGGCGATGTGGATCAGAGCCACTCATCCTTTATACTTAAGTCCATTACCCAGGACACCTGGGGGCACATGCACAATTACATGCTAAATGATAAGGAAGGAACACCTGAGCACACGTGCCTATTTACATCAAATGCTCAGCAAGATTCTGAACATCTGAGGGGCCCTGACCATTTTCCTGCTTTCCCTACACTTACTATCTCATGATAGGTAACACAGACTCTGGTTGGTGGACTTCATAATACCCTCTAATCAAGAAAGAGAAAAAACGGAAGTTGCAAAAAGAAAAATCTGACAACCAAAATTCAGTTTCTGAAATATTCACTCCAGATATTACAAATTTTTTAGAAACACTTTGCTCATCAGTACCAAATGA